GGAGAAATCCCCAAATATCCCATTTCTGCACCTCCTTTTCAGTAAAGAAATTGTAGGGAGGGAAGGACACACCAGGTTAACGTGCGGGGCAGGGAATTTGGGAACAAAACCTCCCAAAGGAGATGTATTATATTTCCACCCCCTTTATCCTACGCGTGCAAAAGCTCTGCAGGGCTCAAGGAGCAAAGATTTCAGCCGATGAGAAACAAGGTTTCTGCAGGTTTTGAGGCTACACTATCAAGGGGGTTTTTTAATTGCATCTTCCCTTAAAATTGCATTTTTCCACCTTTATTTTAACAGCCCCTGCACACACCCCCTCCCCGGCAGCAAGAGGCTGCTGACCTTCAGGCGCAAAATCTTGCTCATCTCGCTGCGCTGCTGCTTTTTCACCCGATTTGGGATTTTTATTTGCTGGTTGGTGCTATGTTGGTGGGGTTTTTTTGAGGTATCCTTAATTTTACAGCCATGGGGAGCAAGATGGTTTGCCCATTGAAAACACCCAGCTGCGTTTGGGATAACCCCCTTTGGGGAGCCTCTCTCCGTCCGCCGAGCCGAGGTTTCTCCATCATCAGAGGAGCACGGAGGCAGCAGGATCGGGTCCAATTTCCTTTGGGAAACACCAGATAAACGCTCATCTGTTTTCAAGGATTTTGCCTCTTTCCCCCAAACTGGTGGAAATAAATAGCGAAAGAGCAAAATACAGGCTGTCTCTTAAAAAAACCCGCTGTTATTGCTACAGGGGTAAAGATGCGCATGTGAGTGCATGTGTGGAGGAGAAAGATAATTAATCCTGGCTTAATAAAGTCTTAGATTCAGGACCACTATCCACTGCCTTAAGTTTTACTGCTTTACAAAAATTCACAAGCATTTATAATGTATTATATACTACACCGTGGCTGTTCTATGCAACATATGTATTTGTATTTGGTAATAAAGTGCAGTTTTCAATGAAGGAACTGTATTATTACTAAGGGTGATATAGTGCCCGTGATGGTGATATTTTTATTATTGTTGTTGCTTTATTTCTAATTTAAAATATACTGTCTGGGGACTTGGGGGGGGGTAAAAAATCGTTGTGTGTTTGAGCTCAGTCTTGTATCCCCTAATTCTGTGGGTTTTATCCCAAATCCCAGACTAACCGGTGACAATTAAATTAGGTGGGAGAGCAGAAGGCGGCTTGAAACCCTCGGGGGGGAACAAAGCCCTGGGCCAACCTTCCCCGCCGGCGGAGCCGAGGTGAGAAATGCAACCGCTTACAGAACGGGGGATGTAGGGTCCCGTGCAAAATGCAGACGCGTGCTACGGTCCCCATCCCTCCATCCTGCGTCCCCATCCCTCCATCCCGCATCCCCATCCCTCCGAGGGCAGGGATGCTGGGCATCCCCCATCGCCCGCTGCCCCACGGGGAGCAGCCACCTTCTCCATAGGTGCGTGGGGAAGGTCGGGGGCTGGTTGTAGAGCAGAGGATTGTAACAAATGCCGATGAATCACTGGAAATTCCGGGCCCCGGGGATGCTACAGGGCAAATCTCTTAGCATCCCTATGGGAAAGCTTAAGATCTGGTTCACAATCTCTCCCCCACCAACAGTAGAGAAGACATTTTCCAACCCAGCGTCTGCTCCAGGCTTTGATCTTTCCAGATGCTGCTGCTGCTGTGTTCAAAGGGTGCCTGTTCGGGGAACCCCGACTTCGACTTAGTCAAACCAAAATGCAAAGCACCCATCGGAAATGCCCGCAGCCCCTCGCCCCGACTGACTCCCAACCACATCAACCTCAGCAAAAGAAAAAAAAAACCCGCTGCTTTTTTGCGAAAAGTGAAATCGGAGGGGGTGAGGATGGCAAACCAGGATCTGACCCTCCATCCCCAGCCTGGAAACATCCAGGAGGCAGCAAGCGGCAGCGGGCTGGATGCGCTCGGGCTCCCGTGCCCCCCTCGGTCCCTGCGCCCCTCTGCCCGGGGAAAGGGCAAGCTGCTAATTTTGGGACAGATTTCAAGCGGGTTTTGGCTCTGGGAGGGAAGTCTCCCGAAAGGGGACTTTGCAGCGGATCCTTTTCATGCCTCATTAAGTCGGGAATTCGAACAACCCCATCCCAGGCAATGCCTGGAGCAAGTTCACGGGCGGCCGCAGGGTCTGATCCTGCCCTTCAGGGTAATGAAATCATTTGCCCAACTTACCCTGAAAAGCCCCAAATTTGACATTTTGGACTCACACCTATTTTCAAATAGGCCCATGTGATTTATGCAGCCATCCTTCCCAGCACTTTATACCACAGAGGTGCATTGGCACCTTTTAACCTAGGCCAAAATTCCTCTTATCAGGGAAAAACAAGATCTTTATTTTTTTTAGTATCATTTTATTTGAATGCATTTTCACTAAACTTCTTTCCCCAGTGCGTTGCTTTACAGTGGGGAAAAAATGCCATGCCCAATTGCATAGACTGCGTATCTATGTCTGCGTATCCAGCTACACCTGCATAGACTTGATCTTCATTATTAAAAAATTAGAATAATTAATATTCTAATGAACCCAGGGGTGCTCTGCAATTAGCGCTAGCCAAAGGTGACGGTTCTCCAGGAAGCAAAATCACTGGAGGGAAATGAGAGCGCTGCAAAAATCACTTGATTCAATATAGCCTTGCCTGAAGGATTTTGCTTCCACCCTGAGATTCCTCATTGTGCAAAGAATAAAAATATCTTTAGTCCTAAGGAAAGGCAAAAGAAGGAGTCTGGGCTCCGCCGTGCCAGGGACAGCTCAGATGCTGAGCTCAGATGTGTTATTAAAGCGGGTCCGTGATGGGCGCAATCCACGATGGTGTTTCCCTCCCACTAAATCTTTTAGTGCCTTCAGTTTTTCAGCCCTTTTCACCCTTGCTCATAAAAAAAAACCCACCTCCCCGCTCAGAAACCACCAGCCAGCCTTTACGTGCCTCATACAACCCCCTCGATACCCGCAGCCTGTGCAAAGCATCGCCCCGGAGTCGAGAAGGGACCCGGCTGGGAGCAGCCCGGCACGGCCGCGTCCCGACTCGGGGAGAAGAGGGAAAGGGGCAGCTCTGGACCTTAAACTTCTTGCCCAAATCCATTTTAATCCTGAATTTTAAACTCGCCAGCTTTCAAGCAGTTTCTTTTTTTTTTTTTTCTTCCCTACCAAAAACCAAGCACTTTTTATTTAAAACCCAAATGCTTTTTCCACGTTCAAGGCAGAGACACAATTAGACCCACGCTAATAAATCCCCCGGTTTCTGCCGCGCTGCCCTCGGCGATGCCGGAGGCGATACCGTGAATCCAGCACCCGAATCAGGACCTGGCGATGGAAGGGGGTCCCGGCTCCTTCCTCCTTCATTAGTGACCGCTAACATTTTCTGGACTGGCTCAACACATCCCAACTTCCTGGTGCTATTTAAAAGCCCAGAAAAAAAACCACTTTTTTTGCCACCAAAATGCAGGCTGCGAGACCGGCAGTGCAAACTGCTGCTTAACGCAGGGCTTTGAAATCCCCAAATCACTACGCTCAATCTCTGGCACCTTAAAAGCTGCCGGGTATTTCTGCAATTCTTCATTTGAATTATTTTGGTTTTAAGTCATTTTTATTACTAAGAACCCTTTTGAGACCACTGCAGAAAGGTGATATTTTTTTTCCTCAGGAAGAGATGGCACAGTAGTCAAATAGGAATGCGCCTTGTTGATAATATTCCATTATTATTTGATTATTTGATTCATCCTGCTTTTTTCCTATACTTTCTACCTTCTCAGGGCTTCCCCAAAACATTGCCTGCTTGGCCAAAACTTTATCCTTAAAGATAATCTGTTCCCCATTTTAATTTCATGACGCCCAAAGAAAGGCAAAAGGCCAAGCCTTCACCGACACCCAACTTTCCTTTCTTTAATGTCTTCAGAGAATGCTAAAGATAAAGCGAACCTTGCTAGACGCGACGGAAAAATCACCCTCCAAAATTCAGGTTAAAGAACGCAATCTTAAAATCTATCTGCAGCCAAATTTGAGTCATTTTCTTTGTTAACCCCAACCCCGAAGCCGACAGAAATACCTTCATGGAGAGAAGGCGGGGAGGAAAAAAGGGTTTACGAAACCGCGATGCAGAGATGTGCCCCGCATTTCTCTCGCCTTTTCTCCCTCTTCTGCCATACAAAATATAAAAGGAATATTTTAAGCCATTCGGGGCCGATTTCTGGTCGTAGGACCCAAGGGAACTTAATGAAATGAAAGGCTCCGAGATAGAGATTGGCACAAGAGATTTTTTGGGGCAAGGAGACACTGAAATACAGGGCTGGGTCGTTCAGATGTGCCTGTGAGTCCCCCAAAAAGCGTGATAATAAATGTGGATGCGTTTCTTTTGCCCCTTCTCCATTGTCTCTCCCCCCTCGGCGCCAAATTTCCCTTCGCTTTCCCTTTTTCTAACCTAACCGACCTTTCCAAAAATGAAAAAAAAAAAAAAAAGACATAACATAAAACAGCCCAAAGGGAAGATCTGGGATTCACAGACCAAACTTTGATTTTCCCCATTTTCCAAACAAATTTCCTCATTTTACACCTAAAGCAAGCCGGGGAAGGGGCTGCCTGCACGCCCACGGAGCACCGTGGTCCTGCACACCGCGGTCATCCCCATCGCAGCCCCTAAATCCCCGCAGAGCTATTTGCGGAGCCAACAGGCCCTTACACGGGAGCTCGGCACATCGTTTCTTGCCCCTCCAGGCCTACCCTAAATTATATTTATTTTTTTGAAATTGTGATCCTTGAGGATATTTTGGAATATTTTGCAGGCAAAGTCCGTGTGCAGGGGGGCAATCGCAGCACCGCGGGGACCCCCGTGTTTTACAGCCAGAGAGGCGGCTCCGGCAGCGACATCCCGAATACGCCGTATTTCTCCCTCCTGCCCTTCGCGCCTCCTCACCCTACCCAAAGAGGGGTGCGTGCACAAAAATTTGGGGAAGCGATGGGGTGAAACCTTCCCTCTCCCATCCCAACCCTGGCTGCGCTCACCTATGTTGGCATGCCGGGTGGCTGTGGGCGTCCCTCGGCTCTGCAGGTTGTGCAGCATGGGGCTGTCGAAGGGTGAAGAAGTCCAAGTGGTGGCCATTTCGGGGCTCATATAAGCCGGGTAGGGGCTGGAATAGGAGCTGCCGAAACCCCTGCTGTATTGCTCCCTCCCGTTAGCAGAAAGGTTCAAGGAGCTGCTGTAAGCCGCCGCGGCTTCCCGGGAAGAGGTGGCGGGGATGGGGGTGCTGGTGG